GTTGAGCGCGGGCCCTACGCGTGCTCTCATTGGTCATAGTTTTTCATTAATAATTCAAAAATCATGCCTCACTTTGTATTTCGTCAAAGGAAATTGTTGTTCAGAAACACCTACAGAATAATCCCTTTTCGGATATAACACTTTTTCTGGGACACCCTGTATAACGCATATCTACTTGGATGTAATTTACATTTCTTTTATATGGAGTACGAGAATTATTTATTACTCTCCGATTTATTCGTCCATAATAGTTATTATTTATTATTTCCTGCGAGACGTATTGAACTCGAATATTAATTTCATTCTATGAAAAGGCTTCACGCGAAACGTGAACGAGTCCCGTTTGATTTTAACTTTTGCAATTGACGTGATAGATTATTTAATGGTTCGCTGTCGACTGTTTAACGTCCCTCGCTTTGAAAGCCTGAACAAAAAATACCCGTATAACGTTTGTAATTCTCTTCGCCAACACCTGATTCCTCTTTTTTTTATCTCGTTGTACAATTTTTTTGCAGTTCCGGATACAAAAAATCTCTCACAAAATGGTTAATTGATACAAAGCCTGCGAATCAAACGAGAGGAAAAGCTATTGATCGGAAATACGATTGTTTCGATATAAAAGAGCGAAACTTCATCTTTATTGTACGATTGACCTACCGGATGCAAATGGATTTGCAGTTAATTGACGATATTTCTTCTTTTCGGGGAAACGCGGTTTCCAGCTTGCGATCAATCGTGCAGGGTAAATCGAATTTCTCGAGAATTTCGGGAACTTCATCGGGAACAGGATACCCCACCGGTTTAACTAGATATGGTATATGTACGCACTTGTATGTATGCGAACGAATAAATTCAGAGCGAGCCATGTACCTGCGAACTGCTGATGAACAAACAAGTTTCTATGGATGAATCGGTTAGTCCTGGCACTAAAACATCTTCTAGAAAATTGAAATCTACCATCGATGAAAAATTGACGATCAACGAGTTACGACAGGTGTTCTGTCGACTTTTGTAAATGTAGATGTATGAAAGAAATCAGGCGTACGAATTGATAAAATTAATTATAATTACTCTCGAAAGTCAATATTAAATCAATAAATCATGAATCATCATTTAAATATACGTACGACGTTCATTAAAATATTATTCGATTTATTAATTAGATTATATTTGTATGATTAATCAGGCTGTGAATATAATTAATATGTATGTTATAGTGAATTATTTGCAATTGTAACACAAAGCGTAGCCGGATGCAATCTGCATGCAACCTGGGCTTCAGGAACACGAATCCCTACGGATCAATAACAATACAACTATTCCTGCATTTTTCATTTCTCGCTCGTCCATGACTCGTTATAATTGGATTAAAAACTTACTTTAGGATCGACCTGTACTGATTCGTTGGAACTGTACTCAGCTACTGCCTGTCTTGCAACTTGATAACCTGTAGTTCAAACAAGTGACTTAAGGAAATTGCACTATCAATCAACTGATTATAAGGAGAAACAAAAGTGCCAGATTAATTACCTGTACTGGGTGCATATCCATTGTACAATTGGGTAGTGAGACTGTCTTGAACAGCCTCGAGTACTTCTTTAGGTAATTTCAAATTACCAAAAGTTGTAGGATCACCTGAAATTAGAGAATATAATAATAAAAGTTTCATGTTCATTTTTAATAATGTCTTTTATCCAAACAGATTGGGCCACAGTAATACTTAAACAGTTTGTCAGAGTTATATTTCACTTATTTTTTACACAATTTCCAACTCTGTTATATTTCTTATTATTAATAAAATTGTTCAAATTACATAAAAACAGTCTTGACAACTTTGTTATAATTACAAAATATGAGGTATTAATTTTGGATAATTATGCCATTATGATATTAAACTAACTAGAAATATAATCACATTTTCATAATAATGCTCTCTTCGATGAATCTTGATAAACATATTTCCACATATCTCGAATGAAGATTCAGCGTTTCAAACGGAATGGTCGTGATTATCATAATCCCAGTTGCAAAATGCATTAACAACGTTCAGGGGAGAGTTTCGAACGAGCCGCGATGTTGTTAACAAACGAAATGTGAAAAAAGGAGCAGTGAGCCTGAACTAATTATACGCGAACAAACCGCGATAAGCGGCGAGCACGAAATTATCTGGTCTCACGAAATTCCCAACCAATTCCAGAAACTCGTAATGAAAAGCCGTTCCGTCTGTCTCTGTACCGTGCAATTTTTTTTTTTAAATATTTCCTGAAATTAAACACCGCAGTTATATCAGTCGACAGGGGAACGTATTAATTCTCGTGCTACGCATCTCTCGTTTTCAAACGTATCTGCTATATACCATGATTAAAAAGCAGAAGCTAAAAGAATCCTTATATTTATTTTTCGATTAATCAATATTATTCTTATGGTAGTTTTATTTAGGTCTGTTTAATCAAGTAATTCAAATAATCGTCAATGTAATAGGATAATTCTAAAGGAGAAATAGTCTCACCGATAGATAATGCAATCAGTTTTTTTGCCGGATTAGGCTCGACCACGAGGCTCTCCACGATTGATCTAATGGGGTTGTGAGTCCTCCGCGCGATGTCCGACGCCTGGACGTTCCATCCCTCGCGAATGTTCGACATTTCGAATTTGATAATTTCGGAGGGTTGCATCAAATTTCCCTCGGGTTCCTCTATGACTTCGGGATTCACCTCGTCCCCAGGATCGATCACCAACCAGTCAAATATCCATCCGTGCGGAAATCCGATCTCAATTGTTACAAATTCGATCTTATGGAATCGTTATCTTATCGGATAGATTAGCAAACGATAATCCTTAGACGGACGGTGTTCCATTACTGAGAGCAGATCTGTTCTGAGGTCTGTCAATAATACGAAATGTTCTACTGCAGACCGGAGCACAGGTGAACCAGTCGGATTGGTCGACTAGTCTCCACACCTTCTTTTATAGTCAATTTGAATGAATTCTGTGCTTACGTAGATCGACAGCCTTGAGCAAGTTCCCATATCGCTTTATTGTCACGCGTTTGGAGAAACGATCGGTCTGATCATTTCCGTAATCAGATGACAAGATGTGATACGTTCGATTCTCATCATAAGAGACATGTGTCTATTAAATACGCATATTAATTATATACGTATAATACGAAATATGCATATTTCTAGATCAAATAAAAACTTCTATTGTTTTCATCATGAATAAATAAAATAAATTTTCAAAATTAACAGAAAAATTTATATTCCATCATATTAATAAATTTTAGAAGCAATAGAAATTATAGAACTGTACGTACCATTTATGCTACCTAATTATAGGTATGTCCACATATTCCTTGACATTTTTTATGTTAATTCGACATTCAAAAACAGTCAGAATTTCCACGAGACAGGCACGTGTTTGCGATACAGGTTCAATGGGATAAATATGATTTGCGGAGAGAACTCGCATAACTTAAGGGAATAGACACGAGTTATGGTAAATGCCGCGCAGTTAGTGGAGCTCGCTTGGAGGCTGGAGGACGATCGAACCGGTCGGATTGGTCGATTAGACTCCACACCTTCTTTCATAGTTTATTCAAAATTCTTCGCTGACGTAGATCGACAACTCTTGGCTAGTTGCGATCTTGTTGTCAACTTAACGTTGGCCCGACCTTCCGTTTTAAGTCTCTTGTTATGAACAATATTTGTTCCTTGTTTGTACAGAAATGTAAATTGACTGCACTCATTGTGAATAAGGTTTTGTTTGATAAACAAATCGGAATACCCACTAGGACTGTTACCTATTTTTTAATTTGGATGATTGAAAAATTGCAGAACGATTGTCGATTGTACGGTTGTTGAACTTATTGAAATTTATTTCCCAAACTTTCCAAATATTGCCGTTTCCTAACAGTCGAATGTTTACGCGACGGTCGATTTATAATTCAAATCATTTGTTAAACAATAATTTCGACAATGTTACAGGAAATTTGCGACGTTGAAATCAATTTTTCACTCGCACGTAACATTTCCCGTATATTTCATATTTCAAATATCACTACTATAGAAATTATATGTGAAGTTTTACTGATACATAAAACTAGAATTTCAATCAATGTCAGATGTAAAGCGTAATAATAATTTTACCAAAATATTGGGAAACAGAAATTGATTCGTACCATATTTGGTTTTCATTGAATGTCGTACGTGGCACACGCAGGATTAAGGATGTACAAGCTATACAAGCCTAATAAGTCTGGAATTTTAGAATATAGTTCGATATTTTTCAATATTTTAATAAAATATTGAATAATACATAAAAAAAAAAATTTTTTTTTTTTTCGACGATTTTTCCAAGGGGTACCCCTTCAGATTTTGCAAAATTTTCGTTTTT